AAGTGCATGTTAGTGTTTGTTGAGAATATTGGTAAGACAAAAAATGCAGCAAGTGCATGTTAGTGTTTGTTGAGAATATTGGTAAGACAAAAAATACAGCAAGTGCATGTTAGTGTTTGTTGAGAATATTGGTAAGACAAAAAAATACAGCAAGTGCATGTTCGTCTTTCTTGAGAATATTGGTAAGACACAAAAACAAGGTAAGTAAGGAAATACTTATCAAAAACAGTTTATAATTGCATGTATACTTTCTTGATTTTTAATTGAAATATTAATTTGCATTGATTTATTTTGTTTGAAAAAGACAATGCAAGCACGTACAAATCAAAACCAATTAGACAAACAAAGTTGATCAACGTAAGAAAGCAAAAATACTCTTGGAAAAGAAGGGGAAAATACAAAAAACAAACAAACACACAAGCTTGACAACAAACAAACAATCGATAAAACTTGCAAAACGAACGAGTAAACAAACAATCAATCAAGATATTGATAAAAAGAAGTAAAGTACTCATGACAGATGACACAAAAATATATTTAATCAGACAAGCGCAAACATCGTTATACGTAGGATGGATAAATAATCACTCAAAACAGTCTTCTGTTTAAAAATAATAATGTTGACGACTAAATACAACTCACCCACTCCAGTATTCCTATAGACAAAGTTCGTATACCCTTTACCAACACCTCTCTCACAATGTGTAGATGGTCCATGCTTGTCATAGGTCAGGTGACCAGAATGCCCCGCCCAGCACTCGCCCCAGAACTGCAAGGCAAAGTACACATAGCCCTTGTCTTGTGCAGCTTTTGCACACGACTGCACGGTTATGGAGAGGTTCGACCAGTCGATGACAGGATCGGAGATGCGATGGTTTATGATCAGGTCAGGTAAGGCTCTGTCTTGAAGTTTGTCTTTGAAACATCCGACGGGAACGAAATTTTGCAAAGCTGTTTGAAAGAAATTCGTGATGAGAGTCAGTATATAGACCTATTCAAGTTCGGTGTAACGTTTTTCCGTCTCAGACCACGTATCATTCCCATTAGCACCATCACGTGATAGCAGCCGTGACACGGGGCACGACAATAGTCTTTTTTCCCTAGGAAACTGAATTCGTCTCATGTAAATCAGATTTATTACCGTAAAAAGATATATAGACCACCTCGATGAGTTCTTGCTCATGGGGTTAGCATGTTTTGAAATATGTTTGATTTAAAAAAAATCAGATTAGACCAGATTCAATTGTTCCTGTCATGGCTGCCATTGCCACGTGATGGTGCAAAGCCTCTATATGTGAATGACTAAGCTTAGAATGCTATTTTTAAAAGAACGACACGTTGTCTTTAGAATTGTAGATTTAGGCTACTTGTGACACGTGGTCTAAGATGGGAAGCATTACGTAGGCTTCCAGTCTGAATGGGTCTATAATAGAACAAAACAAAAAGACGAAAAAGAAATGTAGCGACTGTCTATTAAGGTGGGCTAGACTAACATCAATTTTACTTTAATTTAAATACAATTATATATGTTTTCATTTAAGTAAGTAAGTATAATATTTGACTCGAGTGTAGCTATACACCCAATAGACGACTTTCATAACTCAGTTTTTTCAGATAGAGAAAATGAAGCCTTTTTACCAGAAACTATTAATGCTATCTGAGAAAATACTTCACGAAAACTATTTCCAGAAAATTTTGTAGAATTTGACTGCATATCAAAGAAGTTATGAAAGAACGAAAATAGAGAGTTTTGTATGTATTTATCACTGGAAGCCTTGGTGGCCTCCTTTTGGTTGATTTTCAAAACTTCAAAAGCTCACATCTTGTAAAGGATTTATTAATTTAAGTAGAAACTCACACACCTTATCTGAATCAACAAGATCAATGATTTAAAAGGGATTTTACTCTAAGATGTTTATGCAAATTAGCAGCAGCTAGTTATGAAAATCGTGTATATGACGACAAATTTGAATATATTGTTTTGGACTGCTGACTAGCCTCTCATACCTGAGAGATGAGGCGGTAAGCCGTGTGGGATGGGCTCGGAAATCATATAAGAACATGCGTAATGGGTAGATTACGAGTCTAGTATGAAACGACTGAAGTTCACAAGTTCCTCGCGTAAAAAAATGAGCCAGCTCGACTAGAAACCGTGGACAGCTTCTCATACATGTGAAAACGTTTTTCCACTTGAACATGAGGCTAGTCAGTCTAAAACAATAGCAATTCAATTTGTTCGCCATATTTTCATTCAGTGTCTAGGTTCTCTCTATCTGGTTTGAGAATAGTCTGAGCCCGCAATCCTCATTTCCAAAATCTTGTTCCTAAGCAACAGCAAACATCCGTAAACGATTAAGAATATGCTTTCAGCCATTTAGCACAATGACTTTGTTGTATTCGATGATTTCCTGAAATCAAGGTTTTTGATTTTAGAAATGATTGCTTCTCTCTCTTCGTTTTGTCTCGCGATTAGTCGCCGGATGTCGGTGTCATTCTGCATGTTTTCGCATTGTTTTTGATTAAGTAATTCAAACAATAAGCTGATATCGGCAGCAGTTAGTCGACATGACTGACTTGTTCAATTTGTATCAATTTTCGTTGACTTTGACCACCAACAATGTTTGAACTGATTGCTTCGGAAGCTCTTAAATGATTATTATAAAATAATAAAATCATAAAATACTAATCATAATCAGGACCAATTTGCAATCGTGAGGATGAACGAATTTTTGTAGATCGATCGAGAAAGTCCCAAAAACATTACTGATTTCTTAGGGGGAGAAAACCGGAGAACTCGGAGAAAAAACCCTCGAAGCACAGGAGAGAACCAACGAACGACTCAACTCATATATCTTGACAGGACCGAGGATATAATATATCTTTTAGATGTGACAAATTTCTTAGTTTAAGATAAGGACGGTCACCAGCGCGCACACTTACTGCATATCTACATGACAGTCGAGGGATTCCCGCAAATTATTCATTATCATTATTGATTTGAATTCTTCAAAATTATTGCAAAGACCTATATATGACGATAAGCTTTTGATACGATTCTCTCTGAACAAACTAGGTAACCACTACATCACACCGTCTATACGTGCCTGCCTCTGTCATGTGTTTGACAACCGGATAAAATTTTGACCGGAAAATGGATAGCAACGGACAACAAGATATAGGATGGAATAGTAATGTTTGATAATAAGCTAATTAATACAAGGCTGTGCTTTGATAAACTTGATTAGAATTACTCTTAATATCGGAGTTTTTTTTTTTTTTTCTTCTTTTTTTTTTT